TTAGGGTGGTTGCAAGGTAACAAGTTACTATTTAACAGAAGGCACTGGCAAAGACTTAAAACAGTAATCACTAGGGTGTGCTAGAATGGATATCCCTTGTACTTCTAACTTATCCCAATTGCTTGTCTTGTAGCCCTAGTCGCTGGAGGCTGCGGCCGCCCCTGTATCCTTTGCCTTATCAACAAAATCTAGTTGAATTTATGTTTAGCACGATATCGGATTTCTACTCATCCTTGTATTTGTCGTTATACCACCATTTTTTTCCGAGTCTCACCGATTTCGCAATAGTTTTAATTCTTAAAATATATATTTTGCTAGTAACTTGTCTGTCAAACTGGATTAATGACTGTTCAATATGTCTTCCTCATTTTGTAATCGTGTTAAAAAAATTCTAAAAGCTGTATTTAAGAGAATTCAAATGAACTTATATAGGATTTTGCGTCCTATTTTCTGCATCTAATTGGGCTAATGAACCGAAACCGGAATGAAACTGGAGGGACTAAGAGGATTTGCGGGTTGGAGTGACCTAAAAATTAAAGCTTCGTCAATCATTCTCAAATTGAATATCACCAGGTATTGCGCATGCTTACATACAACTTACTCCAGTGATTTCTGTGAAGAATTATGTACAGTAACAATACAAAAGGAGATCTCAGGGCAATAGTTTTAAGGTTTGACTTCATAGGTATGTATATATATAGATATGGTATCTATGCTCGAACTGCTCTGAGCAAGACCAAGTGCACGAAGATCTGGGACTTAGTCAAAAGGAAAATGTTTAAATGAAATGACAAACAAATGAATGGAGTTTTACGTCCTACTTTTCTGCACCATGTGGGCAATTGAAGACGGGCAACGCCATGCAGGGTGCAGTGAGGGAAATTTTGCCTGGAAAGCGGCATTAGCCTGCTCTTTTTCGATTTCCAACTGTCGAGGGATCTTTAACGTGCACAGCCTGTAGCACACGGGGCCTCCGTTTATAGTCCCATCCGAACGACTAAACGGTTTTTCCATGTCTGCCCCTCTGACTTGCATCACTGACAAGGAAAACCGGTTTGAAAAAGACAGATTACAAGAGAGATAACTTGGTTCAGAACATTGAGGGCATGCTCCAGTCCAATTTCACGGAGATCAGCTTTGTGGAAGATCCTGTACTGTTTCTTAGGAGCGTATATTATAATCAGATTACCGTTTTGGTGTATAACTAACCCTAACCGAATTATTTATGAACGGTCACAAGAAATTATAATAATTAAATATAATTGTTCGAGTCTAATTGTACAGATAGCCTCGTATATCACAATGCAAATTGTTACAGAGTCGCATTCCATGAATGGCAGAAAGTGTTCAAAAGGTTCGAATTTCATACATAATGACTGATAATAGACAATAATTGATGTAATTGATATCAATTACTATAACTTATTAACACATATTATTTTATATCCATTTATAATTTCATTTCGTACTGTTTAACCTTTGCACTTCTGGTAGAAATTGTTTACTGAATATCATTCCCAGAATCCCATTGAGTTGTATTTCGCATCGTTTAGACGTCAGAAGGGGATAGTGGGGAACTGTCCCTAGAGGCCGGTTGCTACAGGGGGGCATGTAGGACGGGGCGGTGCCCTCTCGAAAAAATATATTGCCCCCCTGAACGAATTCTGACAACCTACCCATTCCATTTCTATAACCGAGCACTATGCCTTATTGCCCTCCAGATATATTACTTGCCCTTCCTAACAACAAGATCTACGGGCCAAAAGACCATAACTCTCTCAATATATTTTACCTCCTTTACTGATTACGCTTCGTTTTGCCTTCAATTTATCAATGGATTTTCCTTTCAATATGAAATGTTAACATTATATCATATATCCAGAGAATTCCCAAGCGAACAAGAATTACAGTAATTGATATCGCCCACTTCTCTTGATGATAATAAATAATGCATTTTGTCAGGTATGGTGTAAAACAAAATAATTTATAACTCGGTCACAACAGGTGAAAAGAGAGATTTTTTTTTTATTAATATTATCGATTACGGATGATCAGATTTCAAATTATGACACTAACGAATTGGGGAATTTAAAAGAAATTGCAGTTATAAGTTCGAATTTATCTAAGCGAAAAAAAAAACTATTATAAACTGTTATTGTTTATGAAATCACATTCATTATTAAAGCCTCAATTTGAAATAGATTTGTGACACGAGAAATGTATATAAAAAGTGGAATTTTACGCCCCGTTGTCATGAAATATATTTCATATTGATTATCGATTTTCTTTGAAATTGTGTCACTAATGAATTGGGGGAAATGAAATTAAGTGAAGTGAATTGGGCTAATGCATTGAATTGATTTTTACGTCTAAGCATCCGATACTTTGCTTTGAATTGAAATGCAGATATAATTATGTCCTTCTGTTGTATCCCTTATTCAGATATATGTCCTTCTGTTATATCCCTTATTCAGATATATGTCCTTCTGTTGTATCCCTTATTCAGATATGTGTCCTACCGTTCCACACCTTATTGGGATTTAATTCGAGAAACCGTCCAAAAAAGCAGTGTTGCTCAACTTGCAGTTAAAACGAACGGGCTAACACCCCTACTCCCTTTTATCGCTCCTGAGTTAGCCTAATGTAAATAATCAAGAACTAGTTATTATAAATTGCATTTTGTTAATGATACTTAAGAGTCATTCTGTTCGCCTCATTCAAACAATGTGTTGTTATACTAGAAGTAATGGTTTCTTTATCTGGGTGATTATTGCTGTTATTGTTTTGTTTAGTACAGCCAGCCTGTACTATAATATACTATAACGGAAGGTGAATTAACAAATACGTTGAAGAAGGGAGGGGTTGGGGAGTGGATGGGGGCAGAAAATGCCAAGGAGGGTGCCAAAAATGAGAAGTATCTCTCCGGGGCTAGAAGGGCCAAAGAGGGCCTGAGGCCAGGGAGCTTGGGGCATCCAGGTGCATTTGTCACATCGAAATAATACCTTTCACAGACCCTAGGCAGATGCCATGGTCCAATCTGTAATCTGTAATCTAACAGGAGGATTTTACAATAGTCAGTTTCTATTTTTAACATATTGGACTAATAAACGTCAAGAAATCAGGGTTAAAAAGCCTTGTTATAAATCTATTATATAAAGATGTACGTTTCGAACTCGCAACACCAAAATACTTGATAGTAATATAACAAGAAAATTTTACAATAGAGTCAGTTTCTATTTTTAACAAATTGGCCTAATTATAGAGAAGAAATCAGGGTTAAAAATATGTTTTAATGTCTGAGGTCGAGTTACCTGGTCTAATTTTCTTACCTGGCATCGAGTCTATGCTATGGCAAGTTTATTTTACCTGTTGATATCTTGGTTAACAGATTGGTGAAGAATGACTAATGGTTGAATGGGATAGATCGCAAAATGAATGAATAAATGAATGAGAAGAGCCGACGAATGAATGAATGAGCAAGTGAATGAATACTTCATTGATTGAACGAATGAATGAATACTTCAATGAACGAATGAACGAATGAATGAACGAATACTTCAATGAATGAGAAGAGCCAACTGAAAGGGAATAATGAGAGTGAATGAAGAATTGAATGAAAGAATGAATGAGCGAGAAGAGTCAATGATTGGAAACTAAGGGAATGAATAAATAAGAAATACTGTTGAATGAATGAATGAATGAACGAATGAACGAATGAGAAGAGTTGAAGTAATGCGAGTGAATGAATCGAATAAGAAACAAAAAGGCCGTTTGAATGAATGAAAACATCAATGAATGAATGAATCAATTAAAAAAAAGATTCTTAAAAAAGTAAAGTTTATGTTTACATGTATTGTAGATTGTAGATTTGGAATTTAGATTTCGTTAAAGCTGGTGGGTTTCTTCTGTTCGAGTTTGTAAATTTGTAAAACAATCCTACCGTTAGAAGGGAAAGGAATAATGAAATTACAAGTCGAAATAGTAATAATTGATAAAAGCCACGTGTTTCCCATCAAAGTTTTTATTTTCTCTCTCTCAATGATTAGCTTTAGGTATAAACAATATTAACTGTGTGGACTCTCTGAAAGTGATGCTGAATTGACAAACCAAATAAAGTGATGCTGAGTTGACAAACCAAAATTCAAGATAAACAGTATTAGCTATGTGGACTCTCTAAACGGGATGCCGAGCCAAGACGAGGAGGTCCAAGTAGGGCCAAATAATTGTCCATGAGGGAGGGAGGGAGCTGTTGGGGCAAAGCCGGGCTGGCCTCAGTTCCAAAGAATTAAGAAAGACACTGCTTAAACAACAGCAATGTAGTAGGTCAATCTTCCTTTGTAAAAGTCACAACAAGTAGGAGACTCGGATTAAGTAAGTCAGAGCCAAGAATTAAGGTGATTAGAATCTGGGTTTCTAAATTAAGAAATAGTTGGCCTGGGATAGAACTGTTTTCTAATTATTTTATTGTTCAGTTCATTTATACGTTATCCCTTTCTCGTAGCTTTTAATCAATACTTATATTAGACTTTATATCCTCTAGCATGGCTTAATGCTGTCTATTTGAGTCTCTGATACCCCTTTTCATAGCCTCTTACGATTTCTTATATCATACTTTACATCCTCAAGCCAGGCTTACTGCTGTCTTCATGGCTTCAAATTCACCATAAGTAAATACTTCAAACCCCCAAATATCACTAAATATTTAGTATAAACACGTTGTTTTAAAGCACAATGCAGTTTTTCTAACTTCATTGGCTTGAAGATCGTATACACTTAAATAGTCCTGACCTACGACATCATTAATGCTTCTACATATTAGGCTCGTTCATACGTTACTGAGTGTTTTGTAAATGGTGTATATTTACATGTATTTACATTAAAAAGAGGAATACCTTTTGGTTTGTTTACAAAATAACTTGTATAATAATTCATCGTAATTCTTACGGCATTAAACTGAAGACTTTAAAGTTTGTCCGATACATCTGCCACGTTTAGTAGAAATGCATATCAAAGTGAGTTCTTGTTACCGTTTTACACACTGAATTTAGATTCAGATACAGAGTTTCGGACTATACTAGAATTTGATGACTATCAGCAGCTGATGTTCATTTTCCACTTTCCCTCAATCATTTTCAATTACAATGTACAGCAATGTAGCACACGTTATACAGGTATATCATAACCTGTATAGTGTTTACACGTGTGTTCTTAAGATGCAAATCACAACAATAACAACCCCTCACTCAAGTTGCCGAGAAAAAGACAATATACCCTTCTAAAATAAACGATAGTCAAGTATATTCATAGACTTATCTAAACTATTATTGAAAACACACGCGTAGTTTAGAAGAGTAGTGGAAAGTAGGTCAACTTTCGTACGTGCACAAATAAAAATATGTCAACTTACCAAAATCTTTCTTGTTTAAGGATAACGGCTCTTTTTCTGATATTCCTTGATCTGTTTTCACTGCAATGACACAGATTTGGGTATAAGGCTTATAATGCACGTGCAAACATAAACAAATTAAGGGTCATTCTGTAACGTTTTAAACATTTCGTAACGACTTTTGACTGCGTTCTACCAAAGTCGCTTTGCAACATGTAGTTTCGAGCTTTAAACAAATTCGTAATCAAGCTTATAACTGTCTTTCTGTATTTTCAGACATCCAGGTCAGATGACGAATATACATTAACAGAGGACCAAAGACTAGGTATGTGTTCGATTGATTTACTTTTGTGTTTTCTGTCGTTATCGAACGCACCACCCGTAAGTAGTTGCAAGAGAATCAGGTCCGTGGCCAATAGGAGCAATGGGTTAGATGATGAAATAGATCGGCTATCCGATTTTTTTTTAGAGTTATTAGCATCCATCCTTTAAGCCCGCCCGACACGACTCGGCTTAACTAAATGGTGAAATTATGTAGTAATTCTTCATTGGCCTCGAGACTGACGGACGTCAGAGAGACATATTGCGTGTTGGAATCATTTATCCCTAAGATCTCTTTAGAATTCAGCTGTCACGTGATTTGTTTGAAGACATTTTAACTTTGTTAGCAACCAATTTACTTGTCTTCGACCAGACGACAAATTCAAATATGGATATATTACTCAGATGAGTGACTCAGTGACATTATGAAGTAAACAGGAAAAGTTTGTCGCCATCTTCACAATGTCAAGCTATGACGAATTTTGGACTTATACCTTGACTGCAATAGTCACCTTTCTTGTATCACGAGAGTTGATAAATGAACTGATTTGATTGGATTGTATGCTAGTGAATACAGCCAAGAGACCCCGACAGTCTGCGAACACAAAGCCATAATGAATACATCCTTTCTGTCAAAGGCTCTGATTGGCTGTATTCGCTCGCGTACAACCCAATCAAATCAAATTGTTACATTACGTGATACACAAGGAAGTAGAATAGAAAGTCTGAAAACTCCATTTCATTTCCTTTTATAAACAATTTTACAATTCAGAATTACGTGAAGCCTTTTCTTTATTTGAGAAGACTGGTAAAGGAAGAATCAACGTTAAAGATTTAGGGATGTTGTTACGGAGTTTGGGGTGGAATCCTTCAGAACAGGACATGGAAGAGGCGAAACGAGAACTGGAAGTAAACAGTAAGTATGGGTGGTGTCATAGGGGCGTGGCTTCGATCTGTTGAATCGCGAAGGTGAAATATCTTTTAAGACGGCTAAAGATGTGAAATAGATACACCAAATTACAAAATTCTATATCGACACTTGATTTAATGAGCACCATTTGTACTGTGAATATATTTTGTTATTGTACCAAATCACCAATATAAGTAATGTGGTCCCTCCGAACTGAACTCTGAGTTGACGGTGCTCTATAATTAGGTCACGTATCTATTTTAAGATCAGCAGTAATTAGGCCAGGCGTTCAATTCCAGCCAATCAATAAGAGATTATCCCCCTTTATAATATCCTCGCTCGTGATATTTGTATGAGTCGGAAAGAAGGTCCAGTATAGCACGTTTTGTAATAATGGTGCTATTTGTTTGTGCTAATTATACGACAAGGGGACGTCGCTCGATAGTTAAAACAAACACAGCCGTGATTTATTCTATCAGAGTCTATAGATGTACGAGTTCTTGAATTAGGCTAAACCCACACTCTGTCAGTAGGTGTCGCCATAATCTCATTGATTTCCGGTATTGGTATTGTTCAGTCAAGATTACGATTCCTTTAATTATGGACGACAAGATTGAAAAGGATCTCTCGTTTTTCATGATATCCTTCAACATCTAATTTGTAGAAGAGTTCATATATTCCATTAGACATTAAGGTGCCCCTACACCATAGAGATCACCAGTTGTATATGGCAGTGAATAATAAAAGTGGTCATGCATAAGTAACGAATGCAACTCGCATCACAATTTGCGTTGTAAAATTTTAATTTCTATTATTCGCAACCATATGCAATTATTGCTGATCGCTAAGACGTGAGAGCCACTTTAGGTAGCAAAAGGTGGTAATGCACGTGTAATTTTGAAAAATGGGGTCACACACCTTTATGTTATAGAACGCCATAGAGCTATTTACATGCCTGTGCATTTTTATTATAGAAAGAGGTCATATACCATTTGCTGATATAGAGCGTTATGTCGCCAGACGAGGTGGAATTTACTGGGATAACAATGATGAAGAAGATATTTTAAGTGCATTCCGAGCTTTAGATAGAAACGGTTGTGGAAAGATTAAGGTAGGCAGATTTTCTACGTTTCTTAATACAAGACTTCTCAAAAGCCAGTGGATTACTTTGCTAAGATTCAAAACAAGATTGACTTTAAACTGTGATTACATAGCAGGCGAGAATGAAGAAGTTGAAAGAAAGATTTGATGACGCATCAGGTAGTGATGAAGTAAACAGCAATAATTGATGACGTTGTATTTCAGGTAGCCGATTTTAAACATTTTATGATGACAATGGGAGAACAAATGTCTGTAGAAGAAGTGGAAGAGTTGGTAGAATGCACGGCCAAATCTGATCAAGATGTCATCGACTATAAAGATAAGATTTGAATTGTTTGACTTTTTGGAGGAGGGGAGGGGGGGGGGGGCGGGAATTCCACATCTGATTGGGCTCATTGTGCAACTCCTGTTACTTGTACCATTATATACGCTTAGGTCAGAATTTTCTAGGATAAGTAATAATATTTCGATATCATCTGAATTTGTCTTTGGTGCTCTATGGCCTTTTTTTCTCTCTTTTTACATCTAGTGAAAGCAGTTCAACACATTCCCACGTGAAAGGACACGTCACATCACTCTTGGTTACAGATTGGCTGACGTCATCACAGACACATGACGTCTCTTGGTTACCAGACTGGACAATTATTATTGAAGGTCAAAGGTCAACTCTCACAGCACGTACATCTTAATTACTGCACTGGATTCGTTTATTCCTTATTAGGAATTTTTTATTTGCACGGGAAGAATATCTGGATAGATTGTAATGTTATCTCAAATTTGATGCCTTAAATTTTAAATCTAAGGCCCGAGATTTCATTGGATGGAATGAGATATGACGTGATAAGGATTTGTTACGTCACAGAAATTTTTTTGAGGAGAGCACTATACATTTATTTTTTTTTTTAAACTTTTTTTCTTCTTCATGCATATTTTTACCGAGCAGCACATTGTCTTTTCTTTTTTTCATATTTTCACTTTTTTTCTATCAATTCGCCTTTTCAACATATCACTATATGTATATACTAGTTTTTCTTCGAACCTTCATATTCAAACCCCCATTTTCAAAATAATATTTTTTACATTTTTTGGGCTGTGATTAATTTAGGCCCTTTATTTATATTTTTCACGATGCACGTACTTTTCACATCTATGCACAGGACAATTACAAATTACATCTTATTCATTTACTACCCATACAACTTACTTTCAAAAGAGGACCAAAATACTCTTTTTTGACAGATAGGGAAAGGGGAGTCAATGTTATTGCAATATAACCCCGTGAGTTCGATATAGGCTAAAACCTAATATGCGCGTCCATGACCTAATTCTTACAGACAAATCGAAATAACACAATTCTCAATTTCTGTTTTTTTTTAAATATATCCATCAATATTGACACAATCGATCCCCCATTTCCAATCTATACAAATAAATGAGTTATAATCAATTTTTCACAACCTTTTATTAAGTCAGCACTTTTTCACCGGCACTTTTAAGATTTTACATGATCTCAATTTTCAAACTCAGAAACTTAGATGTATTGCCTACAATTCAAACAAGCTAAACAAGCAGAGAAATAAAGGGTATGCTGATGTCACTGCATGGTCCGTGTCTCTAGAATTGAAAGGTTATTACCTAGCTTGCTACATTAGTTAGATTTAGTTTAGGTTTTTAAAGATTAAGTTTTTATTGAAAACCACGAAAATTTCATATTCATTCCTTTTACAATTGTGATACGTTAGCTTGATATTTTCTTTTTTTATTTCATAAGAGTGATGCCATGCCATCAAACTTAGGATAATCCAGCAACATATTGATGCAAATTCGAGCTGATTGCATAATGCAAAAACATAATCGAACAGCCCACTTTGCACTTAAGGGGCCCTCACACTAGTTGGGTATGGTTGCGAATAAGAATTGCGCTCATAAGTTTCGAACGCAAATGTCATGCGACTAAGTTATGAGTTGCGTTAGGTACTCGTGAGCTCATTCATTATTCACAACCATATGCAACTGGTAATCTCTATAGTGTGAGGGCACCTTCAAGTGGAATATATAGTAATTGAAACCATTGAAGTCCGTCTTTATCTTGTCCTGTTAGAAGTTATTATTCAAACATGATATGTCTCTTTAAAACTGTTTCAAGAAGATCCTCTCTGGCATAAAAAGCTTACAGTTGAGAGCTACACGGAAATACGTTTCCGGAGCTGAATGCATAAGCTGAATATTAAATTTATATTAGTGCATCCGACCTGCCAACGAATATTGAAACGGCGTCAAAAGTCTGCAGTGTATATTGAAGTTCTAACAAGTATCCACCCAAACCTGATAAGATGTCTATTTGCCAATATAATTTAAGTTATTACGACATATATGAAAAAATAGTTTACTTGAAATCTACTTCATTATTCGCTTTTCTACACATAGTTTAAAGGGATCCCCTCCCTACGTCGGATATTACACATAGTTTAAAGGGATCCTCTCCCTACGGCGGATATTGCACATAGTTTAAAGGGATTTCCTCCTTAGTGCGGATATTTATTACTTCTACGACTTCTTTCCTAAGTGCTGATAATGTCAAGGCAACTGTGTCGGTGTCATGATAATAAAGCCATAGCAACGATTATAAAAAATAGATAAAACATTGCATTTAAAAATTTGTAGAATACTAGAGAAAAAGCTCGACCTGAAATTGAATACTTAATTCAGCTTGGCATCTCCTTTCCGATAAGAAATGTATCTATTATCGTGCTATGTTCTATTTTAATCTAAACACCTCGTTTTGTCAATTCTTTTTAACACATTTCATTATTTTATTTCTTTTGCTCAATTATAATTATCATTTTTATCGACTTATTTCATTATGTTATGATGTCATCTCAAGTGATATAGATAAACATAGTTTTCTTGCAGAGAGATAGAATTTTACATGTATTAGTTACACAAAATATTTGCTCTAGGTCTTGAGCTTGTAGGTAGCGTGGTGGTGTAAGATTCCATACCACGATCTTAAAGCAGCGTCAAATCTCCCCTTTCTCAGAGGGAACGGCGTTTCGTGGTGCATTATTAAAATAATGTAGCCTCAAAGCTTATCATAGGAGATGCTCTCAAATGTCCTAGTGCTTGCTTCACAAAGACTTAACTTATGTGACTATAGTATTTCTGTTATTTGATTGGTCAATCACTTAAATCGATTTTAAATTCAGCTTTATTAACCAACTTATTATTTAAGCTTTTTTATTTTTCTTATAATCTTTGTTATTTTGTGCAGTACGACCCCATCCATAACTCTCTCAATATGCACGTGCATTGAATCAAGATGACCTACTTAGTCTTTGAATGAAAACATTCATTTTGTCTGGCTTCTTTACATCTGTCTGTACACCAGCTCAAGTCGACAACATTGTTGTGAAAACAGCTACCTGAGTCTGGAATATAGGCAGAGCTTTCGGACTAGTCTATTTGAAACCTGATTAGTTTATGAATGAGTCTGTAATGACCTACTTACGAATCGGGAGTTATGGAAGGGGAATTAATTTTGTTTTTCCGAAAACGGCCGCTATATTAAGGTCAATTCATTTTCCCATTCCCCCTTTGTCATTCAAATTGTTATCAAAATATGATAAATCATCGAACTGCATTCCAATTCGTATCTGGAATTAAAACGTTTTAAAGGAATACAGTCTATTAATACAGCTTAGAATTTCCACTGGGTGATATTCTTTAATCGCAATTCAAGCAGATGTATTGGAATTGAAAAGTGATACAGATGGCTGAAATTTTATAAGCTGATAAAGCAAATATTTAAACGACTGTATACCTTTAAGATGTTCCAGAAATTACTGTTTCTGTGAAATGTACGTACCTCGTGTAATGTCCGATATGAGGACGACCCTTAATGTAGGTGTTATGTACTCTATAAGGGGCACCTGTTTCCTAATTCTTAATATTCTGGGTTGATTTTTATTCTGTGATCTACCTGAAAAGATGAGGAAAAATGAAATCAGCAAATTTAAATATATTCATATGCCTTATCTGATTTGTCCTGAGCTGATTTAATTATGAGCTTATTTAATTAAGCGATACATAAACGACAACAGTTTATTGAAAGAGACATGCAAAAATGTTTAACGAGCCTTTGGTACGCTGTACAAGAGATACTTAGAGTCAACTCTACTGCTTTGAAAGCAGAGGTCAATTGCTATGATACGTATTTAACCACTAAGGTCAAATGCTATGATGGGTATGATATAACGACCAAGGTCAGATGCTATATATGTAATTACTGTATTGCTTAATGTGCAATGGTATTAACTTAACCGATATCGAGGCCTATTATTTAAGAGAAATTATATTATACACAATTATTTCAAACATCATCATGTAAAGATTTGTTTCTGAATTTTATCCTTTTGAGGCCTTTTATTGAATTTATGATTCTTTGTTGAAAAAAATGATAATTTTTTAAAAATCTTAAATTATATTAATTTTCAACTTGTTGCACTTTGACTTTAAAACTTCTTCTTGTTATATTTAAATAAATTTATCCCAAAAAACTACATCGTCTATTTCAAATTTATTCATATAGAGGAATCGTGCATAATAAAGATCCCCAGCCAGTTGGAAAACGAAAAAGAGTAGGCTAATGTCGCTGTCCTTGCAAAATGTTCCTCATTCCATTACATTGCCCGTTCAATAACCCAATTAGATGCAAAACTGTAGAAGTCAAGCAACCTTTCATGCCAAAGGAGAGTTACTAGTCCGTATTGACGATTCCAATTGATTCCAGTCGCAGTGGAGCAAAGACGAAACCTCCCTACACCAGTCCCCCGATCCTTCTATCCCATTTATCCTAAGTAAACCTGTACCGAATTATGCTCGAAGCTTGGAATGGAAAAAGTCATTGTATTGTCTTACGCAGAGTAAAATTCTGATGATGCTGATTGGTGATTGGTCAAGGGGGAATAACTATACTTAACGTATTAATAATATTGATGTGGTCGGGAGGCATTTTTTCTTTCAATAGTTATATAGAGTTATATTTCTAATATATTGTTTGACCAATTCATTAAAATACTTCAGACAGAGTTAATATCTATGATCAAAAAATGAGGGTGGGACGGTAGGAGAGAGAGAGGGGGGAAGGGAGATATAAAGTTGACAATATGATTACAATTTTTTTTTATATTTTGACTTCCAATATCATATTGAACTTGTTTTGAACAGTGTCTTTCACGCGTCGCTCATATTTGATTCCATGTTTTGACTAAATCTTCAGATGCCATGGTTGACACGCGTCAGACTCTCGTCAAAATTGTGTCGCCTTTCGT